ACTAGCCAGGCGTGGTGGTGGATGCCTGTAGTTCCAGCTACTTGGAAGGCTGAGGTGGAAGGGTCACCTGAGCTCAGCAGGTCGAAACTGTGGTGGCTGTGAGTGTGCCACTGCACTCCAACCTGGGCAGCAGAGACTCTGACTCAAAAATAAATAAGTACATAAATAAGGGGAGGAGAGGAATTATACTAGTCAATTTCAAAACTTATAATAATCAAGACTATAGTACCAGTGAATATACCAGAAGTGTAAAAATATGCTAAATACAAACTTTTAAAGAATTCTTTTACTCCCATGAGTTATATTAAGCTACCAAATAATAGTGTATTTTGTAGAAGGAGATTGATGACTTGCTCTTCCTGGAGAGGGTATCAAACAATGAATAGGCACTAGACTTGAGAAGGGCAGCTGACAAGGAATTGGTACAAGTTATCTAACTCATCCATTTTGTCATAAGCAAACACGGCTCATGGGTGGTTAGCAGAGTCATGAAACCTGGGGAGAATAGAGGGAAGCCCACTATCCATCCAGATGTAAACAATCTTACAAAAATAGAAAGCTCCTCTGTAACTTTTCTTGCTGACATGTTCATTTCCAAACATTCACAGTTAATAAGAACTAAGATGTGGAAAGCAGTATTTGTAGATGTTAAGGGTTTTCAAAATCAAGATGAAATACATAAAGATAACTTTAGGCCAGACTCAGTGGTTCACACCTGTAATCCCAGCACTTGGGATACTGAGGCGAGAGGGCTGCCCGAGCCCAGGGGTTTGAGACCAGCCTGGGCAACATGATGAGACCTCGTCTCTACAATAAATGAAAAAATTAGCTGGGCGTAGTGGCATGAACCTGTAATTCCAGCTACTTGGACGGCTGAAGTGGAAGGATCACCTGAGCCCACCAGGTTGAGGCTGAGGTGGCCGTGAGTGTGCCACTGCACCCCAACGTAGGTGGCAAAGTGAGACTCCAGCTCAAAAAAAAAAAAAAAAAGTTAGGCTAGGCGCAGTGGCTCAAACCTGTAATCCCAGCACTTTGGGACAATGAGGTGAGAGAATTGTCTGAGCCCAGGGGTTCAAGACCAGCCTGGGCAACTTGGTGAGACCTCATCTCTACAATAAATAAAAAAAAGTAGCCAGATATGGTGGTATGCACCTGTAGTTCCAGCTACTTGGAAGGCTAAGGCGGAAGGATCGCCTGAATCCTGCAGGTAGAGACTGCAGTGGCTGTGAATGTGCCACTGCACTCTAGCCTAGGCGACAGGGTGAGACTCCAACTAAAAAAAAAAAAAAAGTACCATAATAGATAACACCCAATTTACAAATATTTCAGTAATGCATCTTAGTTCAGCTCACTTCAAGTTTCACCTGTCTTTTCATGTAAAACAGTTCCATTTACTATCATACTCCTTTCTCCTGTGTAGATAAAGATTTTGCTTTCAATATTTAGATCAGTGGTGCATATACTTTCTCTTTTCACCTCCAAAAGAAAAGTCAGCTGCAGAGGAACAGAAGTAGATGCAGGGGAGGTTCATCTGTGTGTGGAGAAAATCAGGGCCCTACACAAATCAAACCATGTGCAGGATAGAGGGGATACAAATAGCATGGTAGTGCATACACTATTGAACTGTTTATCAAATGTTCATTGTAACACGGTAACCCCAAATCTGACAGGTCTTGCACATAAGATTCTTTACATATTCTAAATAAGTCACCCGGAAGTCCAGCAGGGAAAGACATTGATTTATTAGAATTTACAAACTAGGCATGGTGGCTCACACCTGTAATCCCAGCACTTTGGGAGGCAGAGACGAGAGGATTGCCTGAACCCAAGGGTTCGAGACCAGACTGGGGAACTTGGCGAGACGTTGTCTCTGCAATAAATCAAAAAATTAGCGGGGTGTGGTGGCACGCATCTGTAGTTCCAGCTACTTGGAAGACTGAGGCAGAAGGATCACCTGAGCACAACAGGTCGAGGCTGTGGTGGCTGTGAGCATGCCATTACACTCTAGCCTGGGCGACAGAGTAAGAGTCCAACCGCCCTCCCCATTGCAAAAAAAACGAATACCAATTTGAAAGATAATAAATGTTAGTGAAAATATTTATTCTGTTTTAATAAGTATAATATAATATAATTGAGTCTTGGGGCTAAGTTGTGAGTCTGAATATTAGTTTTCTGTGTACTGCTCTGTAGTCTGATGGATTGTAGTATGAAGGCTGTATGTAAAGAAAGCTTTTCTTTAAAAAAAAAAAAAAAGTTTCATGCCTCAGAAGGAACTCTGCATATGCATTAGCAGTGAGGAGGCTTGGATTCTGGTCCTAGCTAGCCATGTTTCCTTAGGCAAGTGTTATGTTCTCATAGTTTACTTTAAATTCTTCAGATAGCCGGGCTCAGTGGCTCAGCCTGTAATCCCGTGCCTTTGGGAGGCTGAGGTGAGTGGATTGCCCGAGCCCGCGGGTTCGAGACCTGCCTGGGCAGGCAAGACTTCATCTCTACAATAAAATCAAAAAATTATCCGGGTGTGGTAGCGTGCGCCTGTAATTCCGGCTACTCGGAAGGCTGAGGTGGAAGGATTGCCGGAGCCCAGCAGGTCGAGGCTGCGGTGGCTGGGAACGGCCACTGCACTCCAGTCTGGGCGACAGAGTGAGACTCCAGCTCAAAAAAATAAAAAAATAATTCTTCAGATAATCCAGTTATCTGAAGCTTATCTGTGTGTGCAAGCTCATTTGAATCGGTACCTTGGGGATCGTACTTCCAGAGGCCATTGTGACAGGCACTACAAATATTGCCTTCTTACTAGTACCAGAAGGTTAGCTAATTAGTATAAAAAAGTCAGAAATAATTTTTCTTGATAAAATGAATGGTGTGCAAGATATGAGGCTGATCGATTTTTTTTTCTTGAAGTGTAGTCTCACTCTGTTGCCTAGGCTAGAGTGCAGTGGCAGGATCACGGCTCACAGCAGCCTTGACCTCCTGGGCTCAAGAGGTCCTTCCACCTCAGCCCCCTGAGTAACTGGGACTACAAGCGTGGGCTACATCACGGCCTATTTATTTATTTATTTATTTATTATTATTATTATTTTTTGAGTTGGAGTCTCACTCTGTCTCCCAGATTGGAGTGCAGTGGCCGCTCCCGGCC